GCCCAAATTTCAAGGGTACCACTGGACTGTGCCCATTTTTCATTCACGGGAAACAATAAAGAAATCAACCCTGAAACAGCAACAGAAGATGTACCACATTGATGTCTTCATATGGCTGTAACATCATAAAATTCCCAGGGATATTCATTTTAATTTCTGAAATCACTCTGTGTAGAAGTGCATCTTCATAGCCCTATTTCTAACCTGTAAATCCAAAGAAGGGCAAGGGGAAGAAGAGCGAGGGAGAGGAGTGGGGGATGGGCAAGCACAATCTTCATTCACTCTGCCACTGATGTAAACTAGCTCCATTTTAATTAAAAAATATTCTTGTACGGCAGTCAAAAACTGAATGAATAGGAAGAAGGGTTTCATTATGCTCAAGTGCAAATTTAGGAAAAAGTTTCTTTAAATTCCACTGCAAGTACTAAATCCACAGGTTTTCAAAATTCACAAGATTAGAACTTACATTACGTTAATAAGCTAATTTTAAGAGTTTAGTTAAGTTCAGTAAAAGAAATCTTTAAATTCTGTGAGGTTTACAAGCTTGAGTTTAGAATGAGCACAGGTGTAGGTTTTTAGTCCTCAATAATTAAATCAAATGGTCTACAAACAGTGCTTCATCTTGAATTTTCCATGATCAGAGCATTACTTTAAAGTACTAGTGCTGAATTTCAGCAGGTGATTAATTTAAAGAGCCATTATTGAGAGTGATTTGACTATCGGTGTCCAGTTGGTGAATGAACAACCTAGACAACAGGTATAATAGAATAAAATAAGATCCCCTGAATAAATACTTAAGACATTTGCTACAAAAGTATAAGTTAAATATGCAAACAAAAACACTTACAATGAGAGGGTTTAATTTTATAAAATATCAGGTTCTATTTCTTTCCATTTGTTAAATTAGTCCAATGTAGATAAAATATACTCAGTTTTAAAGTGACAGAAATTTATGTTGAGAAACACATCAATACATGCCTGGTTATAAATTACTCCATAAATATTTGCTCCATGAATAAACTTCTCTTAAAATTCCAGTAAACAATGTCAAGTTTGGCTCCTGAAGTGCCGAAGGAAGAAGGGCAGGCTTTATGAATAATGATGCATAAAGCTCAATCTGATGGACATCACTCAGAATACTTTTTTTTTTTTGAGGAAGATTAGCCCTGAGCTAACATCTGCCACCAATCTTCCTCTTTTTGCTGAGGAAGACTGGCCCTGAGCTAACATCCGTGCCCATCTTCCTCTACTTTATATGTGGGATGCCTGCCACTGCATGGCTTGACAAGCAGTGTGGAGGTCCACACCGGGGATGTGAACTGGTGAACCCCAGGCCACCGAAGTGGAACGTGAGAACTTTCCACTGCGCCATAGGGCTGGCCCTCAGTAGGATACTTTTAACTTACATTTTTAAACTTAGTATTTTCTAGGGGAAATAGGAGATACAAAAACCTTTTAGACCAGATGACAGACAGGTACAGAGGGATTTTCAACCATATTCATTTGTACACTTTATGATTGCCAAACATTAAGTATCGCAAGCTCACAAGTGCTATTATTTTTAAGGCTCAGTAAAATAGAAAATTAAACACTTTTAAGTTATATTGACCATAATAACTTAGAAAGGTACTAAAAAATGTTGTCTAATGACCTCAAGCATACTTTGTGAATTTTTCCTTAAAGGTACTTTTCTCCTAAATTGTTTACGTGTTCCTTAATTTTATATGGCCATCTCTTCCGAGAGAAAGTGCTAAAAGTAAATTTCAATTTTAAAACATTTGCCAAGAAGATATGCTGAAAGAGATACAAGTGCTTTAAAGTATACCATTCGTTTTCTAAGTGAGATATTTAATCAAAAATGAGATCAAGATAACAAAACTTCACAACATTAAACCTCTTCACATTATGTGAGATAACACATAACAAACTATAATTTAGCATCCCTGATCTTCAGAAGAATTAAGAAAAGAGGTAGAGAACTTTTATCTGGAAGATCTCGTAGTGAAGCTAAGTTTTAGAGGGTGCGCCTTGCGGATTAGCACACGAAGCAAATGGCTACACATCTAATATTAGGAAGAAGCAGAATTCTGAGAAAGCTGAATAAGGCAAGGATTTAAAAACTGTCATAATTTGGAAGTGAAACAAATTCATTCAACACTATCCCAATTATTTTAGAATTCTTCAAAGTCAAATTAAAAAATCGTGGATAAGCAAAGTACTAATTTACAGAAATGTGAAATTATGCAAAAGAACATTTGTGGCAGGATAAGGCGAGCATGAAAACAAACACTGCTAAGGTAAGCAAAAGATCTCACAGAACCCAAACCAAAGCACAGCATTACCACTTAGATGGAGATTTCTTTTAGGAGTTAGAGGAAGTGCTCTTAACAAAAAGCTGAGGAAATTAAATCCCTCTAGACGAATCTTTATGTAAGAAAGCAAAAATTGGGCACTCAAATTTTAAGGAACTCTAGGTAAAAAAACATACCCTGCTTAATTTTAAAATTTTATTCAAGGTGACAAAGATCAATAAATGAGCTGCATTAAAACACGAGGCCAACATTCTTTCAAAGCTTCAGTAAGCTGCTCAGGCGCCTTCCCCTCATACATTCTACTTCTACACACTAGAAATCCTAAATTGGGCACTATCAGTTCCTGTTTTTCAGTAACATTCTCAAGGAATACACTCATCCCTGTAAAACGCTCATTATGTACTTACAACTGGTGAAGTACGCATTTATAAAGTCTACCAAATCACAATACAAAATCAGTTTTGACAATTCTGAGTATCTTCATTTGAGGAATCAATTCATAATTTAGGAACTATTAACTCATTCAGAGTTTTTAAAAGGACTCAATTACTGGAGACACTGTGGTTTATGTCCAGTGACCTCACATGAGGCCTTCTGCATTACCCAAAATACGGAAGTTATTTTCTTCTACAAGTTAATGCTGCTGGATGCTAGTTTATAATACTAAAACTCAATCTTCAGGTTAGTGTCAGCAGATGGCAAGGACCACCTATTGTCACCCCAGCAGAAAGAGGGCATGTATCACCACTGTAGACACACATCTGTAAACTTGCACACTAATTTTAATCTTAACAAGGAGTTTCAGTGTCTTAGTGGTTTTAAGTTAAAAGGATGGTTCAAGCATTGTGTCCTTTTGTTCTTTAGGGTTACGAATAGCTTATTGGAAAACCCAGAACCTTCTGGATCTGTGAGGTAGTAGGCTTCAATCCTCATCATGCATAGATCACACTTCTCCAAAGTTGGTATGGCCTGTCTCCTTGGCATGGTCCCTTGCTTCTGCTTGTCCAGTTAATCCCTTCTGACATACCATGCACCTCAGGGTGAAGCGGTTTACATCAGTAAATTGTCTCTTTCTTCTAGCTTCATCTGCTAATTCCAGTGCTTGTACAAGAACAATATCATCATTAGAGGAGAAAATGGTCAGAGGAGGGGTGTGTGGGTCAGGGAAGTTACGCTGAAGTGGATCATAGTGGATGCCATCATAAATAAGCAGGACCCTTTTGGTATATCCTGCATCTTCCCCAAAACGATCAATTCTTACTGTCTGTGTATCCACTACACAGATTTCGCATTGATAAAATTTGGACAAAATCGATATCTCAATAGCTCCTCCCCAAGTATCATCCCTTTTGATCCAGTCACAGTACTCTTCATTTGTTTTTCCCAGGATTGCCTCGCTATAGAACTCTGGATCACTTGCTACAATTTCTGCTATGAGGCGTCTCATCTCAGGGGCACAAGCTGGATTCAAGACTCCTCCTTCCACAACATAGTACACACTGGTAAAGAGGCAGGAGTTGTCTGCTGGGACCGCGGTTCTGGTAAGCACAGGCAAAGTTTCCCTGACGTAACTAGGAGCACCATATTTTGTGAATGCAGGTGAAGTTTTGGGCCTGGTTTGGTCTTCTTCAACGATCAGCATGTCGCCTGTTAAAAATAAAAGAAACCCAGAACTGCAGAGAAATTATAGATGAAACTGAGCGTTCACTAGCCACGTCTGTAAATTACAAACAGAAGGAGTTAAAGTATAAGCTGGGGTTACTTGGGAGAATACATCTTTGTCAACAAGTGACCAGGAACACTTCTTGTTCACTGAATCTTCATAAAGATGAAAACAGAACAAAGAGCAAAACATTCTAGGTTGCATCCCAATTTAGTGAAGCGGCCTGGGTTATCCACCTTTATACTCACTGAAAAAGATACATCTCAAGAAAGAAATTTCCTTATACTTGCTCTCTTCGTTTTAAAAGCACAAATCTTCCAGAAGGTGTTTACCATGGACTAGGCCACTAGGGGGTTCTCTTCCCTCTGAAATCTTAACATAGCCACCCTGTTTAGTGTTTACAGGATCCTTGATACAACAGCCGAAAGCTTTTAATTATCAATATTGCTGTTCAAATTTTAATACTGGACGGAAATAACTGCTGTTGTCTAGAACTTGAAAAGGCCTTTAGTGGACATGTGAAAGCAACCTCTAAAATAAGTACACTTAACTGTCAAAGTATATACAAAGGTGACTGCAGAAACGAGCCAGGAAAGCAAAAAAGAAGAGTATATCCTGCATTCTTCAAACCTGCTATCATCTTTCAGTGATACAGGGGAAAAGAACCATCAGGACAGAGAAAACAGGTCCTACTTTTTAACAGTTTTTTGGGAGGAGAGGGAAAACAAAATGAATGAGATGTTCTCAAGCGAGACCAGAAAGCAGACTGAGGACGAGTGGGCTTCAAGGCTTCTCACACAGGTTGGGCCCCCCGTGTCTTTCAACCATGTATAAAGTCAAGGAGTTGCTAGACACTTGCCCCGGCCTCCGTAAGAGTCCTCTGTTCTTTAATCTATCCTCATCCTTGTTCGTTCTCAAAGCCCCCAGCTGACCCACGGCCACCTTGCCTTGACTGGTTCTGTTCTCCCTCACGCCCCTCCCCGTCCTCCCAGTCCTTTCCCCGGCCCCAGCCTCGATCTCCTTACCTGACTGGATGGGCAAATCCGCCAGAATGGTATCCCCGTTGCTGAGATCCAGGCACTCGGGCGGGTATCCGACGAGGATTCGCTGGCAGCCGGGGTCGATCCCGGTGATGGCGGCAATTTGGCCCTGGAGTTCCCGCACCCGGGTCCGGCTGGACAACCCCTGCAAAACATGAGTGCCATCCTTGGCCTTGCAGCGGAGCCGCCACATCGTGTCGGTCCGGCTACCCATGGGCCAGACACCCGTGTGGCCAGCTTTGGTCCCGGCACCTGGCTGGCACTCGCCGCCGGAACAACCAGCTGCCGGGTGGACTCCAAAATGGCCACCCTTCGCCGGGCCAAACATCGCGAGAAGGAGAGGGTGGTTACAGTTCTCGCGATACTTTGGTGCCGTTTCTCCCTTTGCACTTCAAGAAGCGCGAACTCTCTTTCAGTCACAAGTTTTCGCCCCCACCCTTCAGGAGCCGAAGGATGAAGATTTATCCGTATTCCTAAGTATAAGTGGTCTTGCTACCTGTAGAGCGAGTGAGGTGTCCTCCGCGTCGGCAGCATATATGCTCAAGGGAAGAGGGCGGGGGAAGGAGTTCCTGAATCGAGCACATTGGAATGTAACCTTGCCCTTAGTGAGGTCAGAAATCATTAAGTCGGGGCCTCCAGACTACACCGGGAGAAGCAGAAGCATAGTTCAGAACGCAAACGAATGCCAAGAATGCTCAGTGAGTCAAAGGACCTGTCAAAAAGCAGTCAGGTACTCGTGACTAGGCGGACTCATGGCTGCAGCAAACATTGACTCATTGAAATTAAGGGGGCCGGCCGACTGGGCTTTCCTCCATGAGACAGTAACTTGAAAATGTCCATTTGCCACATCCGAACGCGCAGTATGCGGTCAGCATCTGGGTCTAGGGCAGTACATGGAGGAAGAATGAAGAGGACTAAGGTGTGTCATCCAGATTCCAGTTCAGGCCCTGGGTATACAAATACGAGGACGATTCCATTCCTGCCTTCGGAATAACAAGTACTCACTGTAATCGGGAGAGGTGGGGTGTAAAGGACGCACAACCACTGGGATTCACAGCCACGTGATAAGGCTAGATTATGTGACCTTTCTTCAACCCTGGATCCCTAGAACCAAGGACTGCGCCTCGCAAATAGGTGTTCAGTAAATACTTGCTGAATGGACAAAGACAGTTTACGGGCACAGAGAGGGCGACTATAACACTGGGAGTTGTAAAAAGCTCCAAAGAGGACATACTATTTGAGTTGTTTTGAAGGATGAATTTAATCTCCATGAAGGAGGAATAAAGACATCTGAATTTATCTCTCTTCCAAGAAATCCATACTCGTTGTTCTTTTTCACCGTGGATCCAGAGCAGCAAGCCCTACCATGCGTAGAGTGGCTTTATCCACAGAATCAAGCATCAAAAAGGCCTGGGAGCAACTGTGAAAAGTTCGCTTGAAAGTGCAAGCTCACTGCCACCTCTGAATAAGTTATATGGAATCTTTACATCTTTTCCCACCTTTCATGACCCGATTTTCTGCTGGAGCAATTTTCTCTTTGGTTCTTCGAGTTGAGCGTAACAGACGGTATAGCGTGGGAGGTAGGAGGGAGAATAAAGAAAGTGGTTAGAAGTCCCCTGGAGGATGTGGGTAGGTCCAGGGAAGCTCCTGGTTCAGCGATGAGAGCAGTGATTTTCCCAGGTTACAGCGTCTGACCTAAGGGAAGGATATGCACATCCCTATAGGTGTCGTCAGCTCAAGCGCTGTGGTAGTTTACTCTAGCAGAGCAACTTCTAAGGCTTACGTTCCAATTTATAGATCTGACGAGATCCCGCTGGGATTCAGGGAAGAAAGCGTTAATCTCTGCAAGGTTTTCCTGTCACCAAAAAGTCACACCCTCTCAAGACGTCTACTTAGTCCACTCTCGCGAGAGTATGAAAAAAAGGTAATGCCTTTTATTAACCCCGCCCCCAGCCCTATTCGTTGCCAAGCAACGATGCAACCAACCTCGACAGTGCTGGGGAACTTGGCAGCCAGTCGTCTTTCCCCTTCACAGTTCCGTCCTCCTGGAGCCGGCGTCAGAGATTCCGACTCGAGCCCCGCCCCCTGGAGCCTGCGGGCGCTCGATTGGTCGACGAGTCTCTCCAGGTGAGGGCCAACGCAGGAGTGGGCGGAGCCAGGCAGGAGCACGTGATTTGCCGGTGACTGGTGTACCCGGACCCCGGGCACAGTCTGTCGGCTCCGGTCTGCCGCGTTCCGGGGGAAAGTGCCGGGGCCACTGCCGGAAGGGATCTTAGGAGGGATCACAGGGTGAGCGACGGCTGTTCAGTCCCTGGAAGGTCATGGGCGGGCGGGAAGAGGGGGCTGGGTGCACCCGGATGAGGTGCGGGACGAAGATGCCTCTCTGTTCTGGGGACGTGCCGGCCCCCGGGCATTGCGGGGAATGCGGACGTTCAGGGGCTGGGAGCCGCAGCTGCTGTGGGTGGGAGGATTTGTGTGGTCACTGGAAGAACAGAGTAAGGTCCTTGAAGCGATACGACCTTCCGTCTTCACGAGTCCCTTGTCTGGGTTTAGGGAGTGAGCTCGGGGCTCTCCTACCCCAATTCGAGTCAGGACTTACCCCTTATTCTGCAGGTGACCTTGGGGAAGTCCTTTACCACCTCTTTGCGCCCCAGAGGATAGATGGGGAGAGGGTGGGAGCAAGGACTGGAGAATGAGAACACCAGAGGAGAAATGGTGACGTCCTAGGGCTGCCTCAGAGTCCAGGTTTTCCCTCAGGGATCATGTTGGAGGTTTCCTCACGTCTCTCGTTTTTTTCAGAACTGAATCCTACCATTGAACTGCAATTACTTTACGATAATGAACTTATCTATTCGCAACCCACCCACCCCCACCTGCTGTCGCTCCTCTCCCCACGTTCTTCAACTAGAATCTGAGATCAGGAAGAACTTGGATAAGCCACTTAATTTGATTAACCTCAGTTTTTCAATCTGTAAAACGGGGAGACGTAATAATGGTAGCAAAATCTGCCTTATTACAGGATTATTGGAAGGATTATAGGAGATGATTTATGTGAATGTGAACTCTTGTCAGCGTTATTAGTGCCAAGTTCTAGTGCAACTCTCTTTATAGATGAGGAGAGAGGGCTGGAGAAGTTCACGCCTTATCCAAGGGCGCGTAACTATTAACCGGGAGAAAGGGCCGGACTTGACTCTTGGCCCGGGGTTCTTATGGCGCACTGATCCTCTTCACTGAGGGTTGTGAGGGATGTCTCCTTCCTTCGATTCCTTACATTTCTTTTGTCTCTTCCAGACGACTCCTGAAGAGCTGCCATGTCTGGGAATTTTGCATCTTCCTCAGAGCAGAACAACAGCTGTGAAACAAAAACCTCAAACCTTCGAATATCAGAGAAGAAATGTTGTGAGTTCTAAAAAAGAGGAGAGGCTGCTCTCTCCTAGGATTTTATCTTGGGAGTGTAGTTGTAATCTGAGACACTCGTGCTTGGTGGGAGTGAGAAATAATTCTTTGACGTGAAAATTTAAAACAAAGTCTACGAGGAGGAGAATTTTCTGTCTGAAACAAGTTGGCTCCGTGAAACGTCTGTCCTTGGGGCTAGCTTGCTGGTATAGCCCAGCATTTTCTTACTTTCTTACTTCTTTCTTTAACTGAATCTCTGTCTCCTGGGGGTATCTTCACACTCCGATTGATGTTGATAGTTAAGGTAAGCATTATTGTACACACAGTGGGGAAAGCAGAGTGGCGGGGTGCAGGAATTACTTGGGGCTGATACTTTTGACAGTTTCCCTTTATCTCTTGGGCTAAGCGTGATGAGGGTACTGCTGACTGCAGAAATTGCACACCAGAGCCAGGAGCTCATTTCTGCAGGCCTCGGGGAATCAGCCCTGACAGGTGACTCCTCAGTGTGTCTTGGGCACCTAACTTTCACACAGGTTTAGGCTTTGCACTTTAGAAGCTATTTCCCTGCAGGTTCTTTCCTGCAGCGACAGGTTTTGCGGGAGCATTTCCATGCCAATCTTTTAGATGGAGACAGCGGGTGGGTTTGCAGAGAGATGAAGCCTCATTTCTGGTCCCCGTGCGTCTGCATTCCTAAGCATCATTAAGACTGCAAGGCTGCATAGCCCAATCCGAAAAGGTCCTGGACAACTGGTCCCCAGATGTTTCAGGGGACCTCAAGGAATGCTAACCTTTGCCCCTGCTTCTAGATCGCACCTTTCCTTTGGAACCCTATCCGTCACTTTTTCTCACTTCAGTGGTTATATATATCAGCAGGTGGAAACAGCCAACCAGCATGAGACCTGGAATCATCTCTTGTTCAAAGCCCTCCCCAGAGCCTTGACCTTGATGTGACGCTCTTGTCAGTCTCATGATTAGTGATGACAGTCTTTCACCAGCACCCATGAGGCTTGCTGGGGTTTGAGCTGCAGCAGAGTCAGCTTGTTTAGATGTGATCCTGGGGTTGGCGCACCTCTGTGATTAGAGTCTCCTTTCTCTGCCAGGGCAGGAAGCCAGGTACCAAGGGCAAATACCCTAGGGGAGATAACTAGTGTAGTATGATGTTTGAGTGCAGCCTCTGCAGTCAGACTGCCGGTTTGGGTCCCAGTTTTACTACTTCCTAGCTGGGTGCCCTTGAACAAGTTGCCCCTCTCCATGCCGCAGTTTACTCCTTTATAAAATGGGGATACCTATAGTACCTTCCCCCAGATTGATGTGAGAATTAAATGAGTAAATGTGGGAAGGCATGTAGAAAAGTGTTGGGCACACAGCTAAGATGTGTTATTTTTCACTGGTGACTCTATTTGCGTTTTGTATTTATTCCTGAAACGTAATATATAAATTGAATTATGCTCTAAATGCTGTGCTGGAAGCCCACTATTTAAAAGTGCCCTGCAAAGAATTGTATTTTCAGTAAAGAATGTTCTCTTCTCTGGTTTAACAATGTTGTAAGTCAGATTTTGGGGTACAGGATGCACATCTTAAAGAGAGGTGCACTCATGTTACTAGGACACTTGATCCAAAAGAGAGCAGAGAACTGGAGGGGAGGGAGTTGATAACTGGAAGTCTCCGACCCTGCATAATGCCCCGTGTCTGTCCTTCTAGTTGTTTTATCCTCCATGGGAATCTCCTACCTGCCTTCTTAACTCTTCTGTGGTTTTTCTGCCTTGAGGGCTTTTCATTAGTCCTGGAAGTAGTAATCTCAGGTCTCTTTCCTGTCCTCTAGACTAATTCCTGCTCTGGGCTCTGATTTCTCCTTTCCAAGCTTCACTCTCTTCTCTCCCACTGGAAGCATCTGGCTTGTCCTAAAGCTCCTGTCCTTCATTTACCCCATTCTCTTCTCCCCCCATTGGTTGGACTGTGAGGCTATCATAGCTGTAGTCAAAGGAGAAATGCAGTTAGGAGCATATGTGTTCGTTTATTCCCTTTTTCTCTGTTATTTGTCTGTATCTTGAAACAGGCTCCCCTGGCTGCTTCGTGTCCACAGCCGGCCGCTGCTTTATGAGTAGCTGCACCGGGATCCCTGCTGCTAATTACACATGTGCTGCCTGACTGCGACTCTGGGAAGTGACTGTGCTGGGGGCCTGCAGAGAGACCTTAGGGAGCCAGAACCTCCAAAGGAGCGTTACTGGGACTTGAGCTGCTCCAGGGATGGGGGTGAAGGGGAGGTGTTGGCTGGGCTGCCTTTAAGGTGCCCAGATTATGTTTCAGGGCTCTGTGAAAGCAGGAATTGGTGGGGCAGGGGGAGGTCTGCCTGCTTTTTTTTTCTTTGTTTCTTTTATTATTTGATAATTTGATGAGGTCTGGAACAAAGTTCCCATGTGTACCTTTCCCTATTTACAGAAGCAGTACATGTTCATGAAAAAATCAAACGATACTGAAAGAGAAAAGTGAGAAATCTCTCACAATTTCTCCTGTCCTGTTAAATTTGATTCTTCCCATCTTATTCTAGTGTATCCCATTAATGAAATCGGTTCACACTGTGCATCCTCTGTTCTGCTGCCCTTTCCTTTTTTTTTTTTAATCTTACTGTATTGCGGACATTTTTCCCTGTCAGTAAATCCAGATTTACCTCATTCTGTGTCGTATTACACTGTGTGGATATGCCACCTTCCGCCGAGGGACATTTGTGTTGTCTGCATGTCTGCCCTTGCAAACAGTGCTAGAGTGAGCGTCCTTGCACACTTTGCATGTTTCTGCTAGCAGCGTTTCCTCCAGAGTTAATAGGAGGAGAGGCACATTTGAAATGTTGATCAGTGTTACTAATTTGCTCTCCTAAAAAGTTTTATGTTGTAAGCTGTTTTTAATATTTCAAAGTGCTTGATGGAAATTGGGCATTATCAACTACAGCTGGACTGGTTAACTAAAATATTAACTTTCTTAGTATTTGGCTGCAGAATTTGGATATTTCAAGCCTATCATTCAAACAGCAGGAGATAATCAGCAATTTTATGACTTCTGGTAAATAAAAAGAAGATATTACTAATGAAACATAGTTTAATGGGCAGCATATCTCAAAAATATTGGGCCTATTTAAAAGAAATAGTGGGAGAAGACCTTGCTCATGAAAAGTCCGGGAACCATTGGCGTTTTAGAGCACCCTTCAGGATTAGAGTCGAGAGCACAGTTGTGCTTAGCAATGGCTCCCTTCATCAGGTGCCAACAGGAGATGGTGGCTGGGACTGAATAGGCTCTCTTGAAACCAGGAGTCTGGTCAGAGCCCTGACCTTGACTTTCTACTGTGGAGTGGTGGGCCAGGCTCTTCCCTTCTCTGGGCTTGAGTTTTTTTGTCTACAGGAGGGAAGTTTTCAAGCCCTCATTTCCTCTCAGTGGGTTCATGAAGGGAACATCAGTTTAAGATTGAGAAAGTGAGTTAAACCTTGTGTAAAGAAGGCAGAACAGAATTTCAGGATTGCAACAGCTTTCCGTTAGGTGTCAAGGGATGTGTTAAATTGTTTCTGAAATTAATCAGCATGAAGTATCTACTATTCAAATTAAGGTGGTGGTGATGGTGGTGGTTGTGGTCTTGGTGGTAGTGGTTTTGTTTTTTAACAGGCAGGACAGAATGTTCCTAGTTTTGCTGGTGTGTCAATTTGAGAAAGGAAGTGTAGCTTAGTTTTGCACTCCGGAAAATGAGAGGCCCTGGTTGCAGCAGGTGTGTGTTGGGGGGGGGTTGGGGGGGAGATGTGATGTGCAGGGGTGGGAGGTGTGGTGCTGGAGGGCACTGTGGGGAGTCCTTAGTGACCTGTGTTTTCTTTTGTTCTTAGTACTCTCTGTCCAGGTTAGTAAACACGGAGCAGCTGGTTCCGTGGTTGGCTTCAGAGCCGCTTCCAAATATCAGTTCATTTTCAGCTTCAGGGAGGGTAACAGGATCTTCAGGGGAAGTGCCTAATGGGCTGGAAGGTGTGGACAAAGCAGGCCTAGCAATGCAGGTAATGAGCCACATCCTGGGGGATTGAGAAGAGTGTGGCGCTGAGCCGGAGAAAGTGAAGACTCAGGAGGATTTTACTGCTGAAACTGGAGGCAGCTGATCCCAGGCAGAGGCAATCTGCTGGTTAGGGGTCAGAGGTCAGGGATTAACATCAGTGGAGGCTTCAGGGTGGCATGTGCCTGCCTTTGTGCTCCCTATTTGTACAGAGATGAAAATCATTTATGTTGCTCATTACCTGCCTTGGAGGGCCTGCTGCCGAGGCCCGGGAATTTTCCACGTGCACAGTGGGTAAAGGACCAAAAGTCAAGTGCTCCAACCCTGAGTCTGGGCATCCACCCCTCCCTCATCACAGGGCCACTCTTTGGCTTCTGAGCACTTCTTGCCCAACAGCCCTAAGGAAACTCCTCCTGCTGAGGTCTGTTCTCTGCCCAGGCCCTTGTGCCCACTTCTGCATTGAGATCGTTTTACATTCCTTTTTCAAAAGATGAAAGATGACTTTCCCATCCAGGTACCCCAGTTTTACTGAACTGTTTCTTAGCCTTACAGGATCACCTTGTCCCAGGGCAGAAAAGCAGCAGCAACTTTCAGGGCGCCCTTTTGAAAAGCAGTGCTGGGAAGTAGAAGGCGAGGACAGTTCTTTCCCTTTCCCGTCCTTGTGCAGGCCCTTCCCTCATAGGAGCCAGCAGAGCCTGAGCCCTCCCAGAATGACCTCAGTTTGGGTCTTGGCCCCAGGAAAGTGTCCAGCAGCAGTGCAGTCCCTCTCCCACTCCTCTGTGGCAGGAGGGCAGGGAGCAGCCAGCCCCTGTGAGCAAGCTGGTGAGGAATCACAGGCTCTTTATGGTGAAAAGCTGCCGAGGAAACACAAGATCTGGATTCGAGTGCCAGCTCTTCCCGTGACTCATCATGGGTCCTTAGGCAAGTCACCTGACTGAGCTCTGAGCTTCTAGTTTGCCCCACCTGTCCAGTGAGACCTATCTCTGTGAAGGAGCATTCCTGAAATAAGTTCCCAAGGAAGGGTAGACCGATGACTGTTCCTGCTTCTAAGTTGTCTTGCTTTCGTGTGGGCCATTGAGGCAGGCTGGCCATGATGCTGTGTGGGCTAGCTTTACCATGAAGCTTCCTGAGATCTAGTCAGAACCTGTGTCAAGTGGGCTTTGCCACGGCCTAAATCTCACTATGGTAAATTTTAAGAAATTCTGACTTAAGCTCGTGTCCTAAGTACAAAGGCCGAAACAGCTTGAGGCCAGGCTCTTTTTGCAGTGGGCAAGCTAATTCTTGCCCGTGACTCTGAAGGGATACATGGATCCTCAGGGTAGAAACTATTTGACCATTACAGGAGCCAGCTCAATTCTGTACTGCTGGAATCCCCAGGCACAAGACCTTCCTTCACAGCTGTATCACTCTCGTGTTACTGGACATTCTCAGGTTAAGGAAGGTGCTGTGGTTACTGTCTTTCTAATCCTCACCACTTCTCTTCCTCTTTCCACTTGGGTACTTCTGTGAAGACCTTGGACATGTGAGGAAGACATGTCTTGGTTTGGGTACTTTCTGGACATCTACATGACCCTCTAACTCTCTTTTAGGAGAGTTCACCCTCTCTCTCCTCCATTTGCCTTCCCAGGCTTCCTGAACCCCTTCCTCACTGAGATGTGTGAGGATTAAATGAGATTGCGACTCTGAAGTTCCTGGGCCAGTGCATGGACCTTTCTCGGCCCCTAGTCATTTAGTTCTGTTCTGTGTCTTTTCCTCTAGCGTGGGCATCCTACATGACCAACTCCCCGACTCTCATTGTTATGATTGGCTTGCCAGCCCGGGGAAAAACCTACGTGTCCAAGAAACTCACGCGTTACCTCAACTGGATTGGGGTACCCACCAAAGGTAGGTGCAGGTCATTCATTTCTTGAGAAGGGAAATCATCGGTTCCTGGGCCTAACCGGCCTCCGGGAGACTTAGGTTAACAGTGCTCCTGGCAGAAACAGGGGTTGCGTCAAGATTTACTGGATTTGTTCCCTGTTCACAGACTCGTTTCCTCCTGGTCTGGGTGGATTGGCCTAGTTTTGAGGGAATACCTTCGGTAGCATAGGGCTTTACATTTTTTAAAGCCCTTCCATATCCATCATCTTGTCTAATCCTAGCAATATCCCTGTGAAATAGCCAAAGTGGCTGAGGAAATTGAAACTCTGACAGTTGAAGAATTGTCTAAGGTCTAGTTAAGTCTGAACTCGAACCTAACTTGGCTCCTAATGTGTTATTGTTCCCAACATACCAAAGTGTTTTTCCCATCCCCTTGGCTACTCTGACATTAGACCAAGAAGTCCCCTTTGGTGGGGCCAGTGTATTGTTTCACGGCTGAAGGGTGCTGGTGTGTTCTGCAGTGTTTAACCTTGGGGTGTATCGGCGCAAAGCAGTCAAGTCCTATAAGTCCTACGACTTCTTCCGGCACGACAATGAGGAGGCCATGAAGATCCGCAGGTGAGTCTGCTCAGGCCTGACCTCTGGGCCAGCTCTCCCTTGGCCGTCACGAGACTGGATGTGTTGACGCTTGGTTTTACTTTCAGTAAATTCCTGTGGGGATTTTAAGTGGAAGTTATTTGCTAGACAGGTCACCTAGGCCTTGGGCGGGTAGAACAGGGCTCGGGGAGATGCATGTGTACTTGTAGACTCAACCTACAGAGGGATAAGATATATGCGTGGGGTGGGGGGAGGGGAAAGATAGATGATGGTATGAAAACCTCAGTGGGGGAAGTTGAAAAGTCTAGTTAGGGGAAAATTTTGGCCAGCGGGAAAACTAAGCAGGAAGGGACGTGACTCCTGTAACAGCCCCGCTGTTCGTGTCTCTGGCTACTCTTGAGCTTGGTCTCGCTCTACTCTGCTGATTTCCCCTGCTCTCATGGCAGGCAGTGTGCTTTGGTGGCACTGGAAGACGTTAAGGCGTATCTCACTGAGGAGAACGGGCAGATTGCGGTAAGCCTTACCTGCCTCTCGCCTGTCTTGGTCTCCACTGTTTCAGCAGCCTGGCTGCACAGCCCCACCGTGGGTGTACCGTGGTGGGATTCCATTTCTTGCTCCGCAGTCATCTACCTTGTGGGCTCTCTTCCCAGGTGTTTGATGCCACCAATACCACTAGGGAGAGGAGGGACATGATTTTGAACTTTGCCAAGGAGAATTCCTTCAAGGTAGGATCTGACTCCACGCTGGAAGAGAAGGCATGCGTGGAGGTGGGAGTTAGGAGGGACATGTGGACCTGTTTGACTCTGGCCGGTGACGACAGGATTGGATATCTGCTTCTCTTCTCTTGGGCAAACCCCGAGTCCTTGAGTGTTTTCTTTCAGGTCCTTTCTCAGACCCTTAGCCTGTATGTCTGAGGCCCTTGGGGATGTGGTAAGAGCTATTTTTAAATGAAGAGGCCTCGAAGGCCACTTGGGTGAAACAAAGTCCTGGGGGATGGTGGCTGGGGTGGGACAGGTTTGCGCATGCGCTCTTAGTTAACAGCCTGGCCATTTTTGCCTCATTTATCACTGCCCTCTCTCCCTGGCCAGGTATTCTTCGTGGAATCTGTCTGTGATGATCCTGATGTCATCGCTGCCAACATCTTGGTGGGTGACACCCCTGTGTACCACCACCTCATTATCCTTTGTGCCTTGAGTGTGTGTTGGTGGGGGAGGGGGGAGAGTCAACTGGGTAATGAAAGAAAGAAATAGATATGTTTAACATCAGAGAGTGAGCTTTTTGATCTGCCAGAGCACCATTTTGTACTTCTACACTCTTCCCTTGGGAGAGGAAACTGAAGCTTTAAGGAATAAAGTAAGAATTAGCTGTTGAAAGGAGGCCAAGTAGGAGTCCTGGCCCTGAGTGTTAGCTGGATGCTGAGGCCCAGGTATGCCCTTAGACCCCATCACACTCTTCATTTTCTGTTAGGACCACCTTATAGGAAGCTCCTCTGCCCACTAAAGGTCTAATTTTCAGGTCGACACTCTGTGCGCTGAGTGCCTCATGCCTTGTGTGGTCGCAGCGTAGGCCAGCGTCAGGCCATTTGATGGGTTGTGCTGTGCTGTGCCGAGTAGACGTCTGTGCATGGTATCGTGGTGATGCGCTCTCAGCAACATGGGAACTTGGGATTGTCTGAGGAAGAGGCATCTGGTCCAAGTCGGGCATGCGTTGATCAAGCACCCTATTCTGAGTGGGCATGGGGAGAAACTGAAGCCCATTCTGTTTTCCCAGGAAGGTACATAAAGGGATTTGGACTCGGGCAGCTTCAGCTGCGTGACTGCCTCTGTCCTTCAGCCAAGGGCAGGCACATGACTCCCCAGTTGTCTTTCCCTTCTTGGTTGCCAGGGTCACAGGACGGGGAGGGGCTGCTCAATGAATGGGGTTGCCAACGCTCCAGTGAAAGGCCACTTCTATGGACTCCCTTTTCTTTACTTAGCAGTAGCTGTTTGCAGGAGGACTGTTAAGGGCAGACCTCTGACCAGGCCCTGCTCTTCCTTTGATTCTAGGAGGTAAAGGTGTCGAGCCCTGACTACCCTGAAAGGAACAGGGAGAATGTGATGGAGGATTTCCTGAAGAGAATTGAGTGCTACAAAGTCACCTATCGACCCCTCGATCCAGACAACTATGACAAGTAAGATTTCAGGCCGTGGTTTGAAGGGCCCAAGGCAGGAGGCTCATTTGAGAAAGAGCCTTTCTCCCTCTGTCCCTAAACTTCCCTCTGACAATCCAGGCCTATAATGTTTACATCATTCTAGAGAAACACAGTGTGGATTTGTGGCTTCCACGTGGATTGAATCTCCTACTTGAACACTGAAGTATTTTTCATCATCACTTCTTTCCCTCTATCCTCTGGAGCAAGATTTCTCAACCTCAGCATTACTGACATTTGCAGTGGATAATTCTTTGCTGTGGGCAACTGTCCTGTGCATTGTAGGATGGTCAGGAGCATCCCGGGCCTCTTCCCACTAGATGCCAGCAACACTTCTAAGATATGACAACCAAAAATGTCTCTAGACATTGCCAAATGTCCCCTGGGGAGCAAAATCACCCCCATCTAGAACCACTGCTCTAGATCAATAGTTTTGAACTAGGGTGTTGAACTAGGTGTTGTAGGACACTCCTCAGGGGTGTGTCATCAGTGTTTGATAAATTTTTGAAGTTTATTATCTGTGTGTGTATATATATAAAATATATATGTTAATACGTATGTATACATGCACGTATATTACATGTGCAATATAACAATGTATATAATAATAAATATATATTTATATAAAACATAATATATATTGTGCCATGTGTATACACACATATATATATTCTGCCAAGTCCTCAGGAACGTGCCCGTCTCAGAGAAATGTCTGATCAATGCTAGCACTATGGCAGTGTCTGTCAGCAATGTGGTACAGAGGACGGTTAACTCGATGTGTGTGAGCCATAAGAGCCATAGCAAAATGTAGAGTCCACGTTGTGCACATGGAAAAGCGTGCAGTTGGGGCAGTTAACAGTTCTGTTCAAATAAGAATACAGCTGTGCAGCCAAGCGAGACAAGCATGCATGGCCCACTGTTAAATTGCTTCAATGATCTGCTTAATGTTTTGAGTCTTTCAGTTGCTTCAAAGTTGTTGCCTAGAATGTTAGTATTTGGAGGTGTTCCTTAATACAAAAGTTGAAAACCACTGCCTTACATATGGTGTAACAGTGTATTCTTCAGTTAGCCCAAAGGCCTACGTAGAAAAACATTCTAGAAGAATGTGTGTGGGTGTTTAGAGATGTTATCTCTGGTGGTAGGGTTGTGGGTGATTTTTATTTGCATCATTCTACCTTTTTTTCCTGAAATTCTTTTGGAATAAGCATGTGTTTTTTTAATAAGAAGAAGAAAAATTCCATGATGGCCACAAGCAAACAGCGTATGGAAGTGCCTCTGAGAGAGACTTGATTTGGGTGGCTGTGGGGAATGCACAGAGATCTCCATCTGTGGTTCTGCCCCGCCTCCTCGCTCATGGCTGGTGGGTGCCGTGCTGTGACGAGGTCTCGACCACCTCCGAAGTGGGTTGTGCTTCTCACCACATTTCAGAGTTAGCAAAATCTTCAGGTCATCTAGTCCAGTCCCTGAGGGGAGGCCTGCATGGCACAGTACAGGCACTCGGGAACTGGAACTGACTGACTGGAAGTTCAGGAAATTCTCCTTCATCTCAGTCCTGAGGAGTGATCCATGTCTTACCATGTCGTTCCTGAAATGTGGGGGAGGTGGGGAGGTGGGTATGACGGGAGAGGAGGAAGCGCTTCTGTGAGCCTGGAAGTAACTGGAGATCCTTTCTCCTCCCACTGTCATCCTCAGCTTTGCATACTCAGGGGACTTTTTCCTCCTCTGTCCCAGGGATCTCTCTTTCATCAAGGTGATAAACGTGGGCCAGCGGTTTTTGGTGAACAGAGTCCAGGACTACATCCAGAGCAAGATCGTCTACTACCTCATGAACATCCACGTGCAGCCCCGCACCATCTACCTCTGCCGGCATGGAGAGAGCGAGTTCAACCTCCTGGGCAAGATCGGGGGGGACTCTGGCCTCTCGGTGCGGGGAAAGCAGGTGGGCAGTGAGCCAGGAGGCTGGGTTTCCTAGGCTTAGAGTTAGAAGGGCATGGTGGAGGTCATCGCTTTTATCCCTTTACTCCTTCCTAAATCCCCCTGGGGCTTAGGCTGTGGTTTCAGATAGTCAGGCAAGTGCTAAAGACGTTTTCTGGTTCACTGATTCTAGCTCTGCTGTATGGAGTGCGAATAACTTGGAACCACTTCTGCTGTGGTCACTCAGCCATCAGATATTTATTGGCTGTGACTTGTGTGCTTTGCACAGTACAGGGTGCCCCAGTTGAAGTTCATTTCATCTTGGGTTTAGCTTAACTAGGTAGCACCTTTTGGATTTTGACCATGTCATGCATACCCTTTGTCTTTATAGGCCAAATTAGCAGTTGTGTGTGTGTGTGTATGTTTTTCCCTCCTTTTAAAATTTTTATTTCAAACCCCAGTTTGCCCAGGCTCTCAGGAAGTTTCTGGAGGAACAAGAGATAGCAGACCTCAAAGTGTGGACGAGCCAGTTGAAGAGGACTATCCAGACTGCTGAATCCCTGGGGGTGACTTATGAGCAGTGGAAGATCCTGAATGAGATTGACGCTGTGAGTAGGAAGCTGCAGGGGCTGAAAGGCCAGCGAGAGTCTCCTCTTCAGGCAGGAGCTCAGAAGTCATGATATGGGCAGTTTTATTTAGAAAACTAGAACCACCAAGGAGAACCTCCGAGGAAGCTTAGTCTATGGCCATTTTGGGGAGAAAGTGGGAACAACTGCACCCCCACTTGAGGCTTCCTGCCTGCTTGAGCACCTGTGCCAGTGCTGGGACCCAGACCCGTTTTTGACCTAACCACTCTGGTACCTGGGGAGAGCGAAGCTCCCTTTGGTTCCTTTGTATATTTTCCTCCCTGGAAAAAGAAATAGCTAACAACTCACTTCTTTAATTTCTGCTTAGATCATTTGGTCAGCTATTCTGGAAAAGTCCTTTCCAAATTTTTTCTTGGCTCTCTCTCTCCCAGAGCACAAAAGTGGACATTTCTTTTTCTTTCCTTCCTCTGTACCCTTTTATGCCTTCTGCAAGAATTCTCCAGTCCCTTCAGTGCCCCTCCTTCCCTGCCTCCCTTCCTTTGATCCTGCTGACTTCTCTGGACCTGTAAGTTCCCCACAGTAGTCGGCGAAAGTGGCAGCTTCAGCTAGAGAAGCTGCCTCATCTCTGCGGAGGCCCCACCTTGCAAGCCCCAGAGCCTGGCCAGTCAGCTGCGGGCCAGGAGACCGCCCGCACGGTGCCGGGCGCTTGTGGGAAGCTAGCATTCTTCAGTGTCGTCTTCTTTCTGTGGGTGGGGCTGTGTGGGTCAGTCTACCTCTTCAAGCCCGTGTGGCTCCTTGCAGGGCGTGTGCGAGGAGATGACCTATGCAGAGATTGAGAAGCAGTACCCGGACGAGTTTGCACTTCGAGATCAAGAGAAATATCTGTATCGATATCCTGGCGGGGAGGTGAGTGTCCCCTCAATGAGGTGACTGCCCAGACCTTTGCTGGGGGCTTAGCTTTAATCTGGGGGAAGGACTGAGTGTGATTTTGGGATTTAGAAAGGGTGGTCAAGGCATCAGTTAGTTTATCCTCCTCCCTTTGGGCCATACTATGTTTAATTCAGCTTAAGCCGTTGAATGCCTCATTAATTTGTTAATATCTCCAGGGAAAAGGGTGACAGGATAGCCTTTTGTGTTGAGTATTTTGTAGAATCAGCGTGATCTTTTTTACTTCTTTTTTTCATTCCATCCCCTCAATCCCAGCCCTACCTGAGCAGGTGTGGGCACCGAGGAAATATATGGGAGGTGAATGCTGTCCCTGTCATCTTTGGTGTTTTAAGCTGTTTCCTGGTCTAGGGGTTCATACTCTAGGGATGTCAGAGGCAAAGGAAGATAAAACAGAACGGCAGAGGTCCGGGAAACCACTTGGAGCCTCTTGTTGCCTTCTACTCTGCGTAGTAGTCTGTGGGAAATAAAACTAACACAGGCTGAATTCAGATTTCCTTTTCTTGACCTGTAGTTTTCTTGGTCTGAATGTTGCTCTTGAAAGGTCTGAATATTCTCAAGAGACACCAGGGCTGGGGGTAGTTAGCAGGCAGCGTGAAGTTGCTGAACCTCCCGGAGGAAAGCCAGCTGGGCAAGAAGGAGAAGTGGCCTCTTGACTCTGGACCCAGCCACCGACTTGGCTGCCAGCTTGTGCCTGGCCTCCTACCAGCCTGCCTCACTTCCCCCACAGTCATACCAGGACCTGGTGCAGCGGCTGGAGCCTGTCATCATGGAGCTGGAGCGGCAGGGCAATGTCCTCGTTATCTCCCACCAGGCTGTCATGCGCTGCCTCCTGGCCTACTTCTTGGATAAGGGCGCAGGTGCCTTTTGAGGGAAGGGCTGGGGGACGCATCCATGGGGAAGGGGCTGGACACGGGGTGGCGCCAGGATCCCTGGCAACTGGACCGCCCCCTGTTCCACTCACATTGGAGTACATTCTTCAGGCAGCAGTGTGGGGCTCCCAGCAGCCACTGGCTATCTCCTTATTGAATTTACTCTGCTGGTACAAAAGCCCCCAGTGGAGAGTGGCTGCTGCTGGAGCCCCTTGATCCTGCTTGGCTAAGGGGCCTCATCGAGCTGACACTCCTGGCAGCATCAGAAAAGTGGTTGAACATTCCCAGCTTGTTGCTTTGGCTACAAGGAGGGTGGTATCTTAGAAGCGTCTTCACCCTTCGGATTCAGGGTAGGACAGTTTCTGGGTAGAGCCGTAAGGAAGTGCTGCTGCCTTCTCTGATACTTCCCTTCCCTTCCTGATCCACCTGAGCTGCTGGGAAGCCTGCAGAGTGGCCCTTGGTGTACCCAGGTGGGCCACAGGCTTCCTTCTGTGGGGCCCTGGCTACAGCACCTACTTCTGTTTTGTCTGCATGGAAGGATCTAAAATGGACTTATTTCCTTCCTTTGCTACCGAGTAGCTTGGGTGGCTTTTTAGCGGCCATCTTGCTGATTGTCTGGGGTTTACTGGAGGAGTTGTAGGACTCTAGGTCATGGTAAAGGAAACTCATGAGCTCCTTAGATTTTCTCTTCCCCTAACTTGACCTTCCTCCATCATACTAAGAGACTTCCCTCACCCGGTCTTTCTGCTTTCAGATGAGCTGCCGTACTTGAGGTGCCCTCTCCATACCATCTTCAAACTTACTCCCGTCGCCTACGGTAACTATGAGCTTAGGAACTGGGCAGGGGGAGGGGGTTGAGGAAGGTCAGGATATTTGAATTTTCTCTGAAGTTTGTTTGGAAGTTCGACTTCATCACCCCTGTATACCAGGGAAGTGTCATCAGTGCCTTCCGTTTTTAAAGGGATGTATGTATATATTTGGGAATATGTACATTCTTTTATGGTATGCTTTCCCAAACTGAAACTAAGGAATTTTTTTAGCTTTTTTTTCTGAAGGCCTCTTCTCTCTCCTCTGTCTTCTCAGGGTGCAAAGTGGAAACAATTAAACTCAATGTGGAGGCTGTGAACACTCACCGTGACAAGCCAACTGTAAGTATTTTGCCATAATGAACATGCAGGTTCCTTGTCACCTTAAGTCTTTGAACCTCTGACATGAAGAGACTGGGGTTTCTTTTATATACAAAAGGAAAACAGATCCAAAACTCATGACCTATATAGTCTGCTTACTTCCAACAGGAAGAGACGTTGGAATTATTTTTTGTAAAATTAGTACCTCTTTCATGAGTCCTAACCTTGAAAGTTGGCTCCTGGAAATCCAGTTAAATGTGGCCAAGTGTTTAGTTGAAATCCAATGTAGATCTCCCCTGGGAAGCACTCAGAGGTCCAGAGGAGCCTAGAAGGTGGGGTCCAGGGGCTGGGTTTGTTCCTAGGTCTGTCCTGGTGATTTCTGTGATCTTACATGAGCCCCTTCCTTTCTTTGGGCCTCCTTCCTGCTCTGGAGTATGATGCTCAAGGAGCTTCTCTCTCTACAACTCTTTAGCTTCCTGGGGTGAGGGGACCAGGCCATGGCCCGTGTCTTATGAGAGACCCTATCTGCTAGGGAGCAGGAGTGGAGGAATCTGTTGTGGTTACAGGCATTATTTAACCTTTATGAGTGAGCTTTGGCTTGGCTTTCATTTGTGTGGTGTCCCTCCGTTTCCAATCAGAACAACTTCCCCAAGAACCAAACCCCTGTAAGGATGAGAAGGAACAGCTTTACGCCTCTGTCCAGTTCGGATACAATAAGGCGTCCAAGAAATTACAGTGTTGGGAGCCGGCCCCTCAAGCCCCTCAGCCCTCTCCGTGCCCTGGACATGCAAGAAGGGGCCGACCAGCCGAAGACCCAAGTCAGCATTCCGGTGGTGTAACCGTGTGTTTCCCTCCAGCCTTAGCCTCCTGCCCGTGTCACTAATCACCAGGGAATCATTTAACTTCCAACACCCACCCCCGACACCCCGCCATGGATCTTAACACAGAACATGAGGTCGTGTGTTTCCAGACCAACCTTAGCTGCTCTGCAGTGTGAAACATCTCCCCGCCAGGGGCAAGTGGACGAGTCGGGTGTTTTGGGACAGGTCCTCAGTTGGGGTGGTCTGGAGGAGGAGGGAAAGGGATGCACTCCCCTGGGGTGATTGGCATAGCTGGGGCTGAGGCTAAGCATGCCCCGTACATTTGGTTCTTGTCCATTCCTGGTGTCTAAAACTCACTAATGTCCTTGTGTTGGTAAAGTGGGGGGCGGGGTGGAGGGGCACACACAGAAGCCCTTTTTCCATTCACCTTTGTCTCTCCAAGCTCACAGTCCCTACTTCCCTGCTTTCTCCCCTCTCTTTCATCTCCCCTTTGGATTGTCCGGCGTGGTGCGTGGCATTATCATTGTGGTGTCTGTTGGAGGGGAGGGGCAGTTGGCGAGAGAAAAGGCTGGGTTCTGTAGATGCTCTCTGAAATGGGCCTAAATGGATCTGGACCCGGGCAGCCTTTCTTTTCCTTTCTCCCTTCCTCTCAAGCCAGGTCGTACAAGGGTCAGCTCAGGCTACAGAACATTCACAGAGGCTCTGGAGGCTGCTGGTGTATATGGGGTGAGAGTTCTTGCCTCCTTTCGTGAGAAACAGTCCTGTCTTCGCTGCCCTGGGGGAAGCTGGCTCACAGTATGCAGGAAATATCTTGGTTCATATTTTTCATGTAAGAGCCAGGCATAGGTCTTGTGGCGGCTGTGGAGTGAGCTTTGGGAGGGTGGGGTGGTCCCTCACTCCTGCAGGGCTCTTGTAGGACAGTCATATCTTCTCTCCAGTGGCTCCCAGCTTCTTTGCCAACCCAGCAATTTTCCTGTGACAGCCAGTGACCTCTGGGGCTGTTTAGAAGGACAGAGTTTGATTCAGGAGTCACCACTGGTGTTTGAATGGCTCAAGGCAAAAGGCAGAGAAGAGTGCACTCGAGCTACTTTTTATTTCCCAGTATTTTCAACTTTCCTTTTTAAGTTAAAAAAATTATTTGCATGACCAGTTTTTTTTCTAAATATGGAAAAGCCTGGTGATGACTTTAACCTTCCTCACCGGAGGATTCTTTTTTCTCATCTTGGTGTCCATCGGAGTCTTTGGGACCCTGGGGGGTCCAGCTCTTGACTGTGTGTATTTACCTATTCACCTCTGTCCTTTTGTTTTCTCTGTAGGGTTAAACGGAAATGTTGAGAGCCAGAATGCTTAGCCCCTTGGTGCCCCATGATGGCATCCCCTCCCCCTCCAATTTTGTAAGCAAAACGTTTGAATGTGTGTGCATTTTTCTGAGAGGCAAGCCTAGAGTTCTCATGAAATTTTTAATAGCGATAGATGACTCCCCATCTTAAAGTCATCCACTTGTCTTTTAGAGGGAACCAGGGAGAGCAAGTTGGCTATTTGCCAAGGGTGTTTTTGTCTGGTAACAGAAGACCTTTTGTCACAGTTCTCTTCCAGGAGTATCATTAGAATCCCCTTTAGAATTGTGAAACATACACATGCCTGGGTCCACTTGAGGCTTAATATTGACTCAGAATCTCTGGGTTTGGGGTCTGGACGTGTGTGTTCACTTAGCTTCCCTGATGATTCTGATTCATCCTCCAAGTTAAAACTCCACTTTATGAAGCTGGGTGGGGAAGTACTGGCATAGTTCCTTGGCCGGAGCACCAGTGGAAGAATTCTGAATCCCTCCTGGTTCTGAAAGGACCGTTCTCTGGACTTGGACGTTTGAGCAGATCACCGTTTAAATAAGGCGCCCTCTTGAAGTCAGGCTGCTGTGTTTTACAGGGTTATTCTAGGTTCTGGCCCCATCTTTAACCCTTTACGTTGCAGGGCACTGTGGAACAAATCACTATGTAAATAAACGTCCCTGGGTAATAGGGGAATTTTAAGCCCTTGGAGAAGAGGTACTGAGATAAAACCTGTAGGGTGATAAAGGTTATCATGACAGGCAGCTGAGTTGTGACCTTCAGTTTTTCATTCTTCAGTTCTGAGTAGGACATCACAGCCAGTTTCCAAAGGCTGTTGACTAGATTCTGGTTGAAATTGTGTCCAAGATGTAAGGTAACCTGCTCTTTCTGTGTAGCCACTACATAATGTGCACTTAGTGTCTTTGTCTGTGGGGCTTTGGGCTGGGTGGAGTTGGGGGTGGAGGGTACATAGAAACAGAAGCAGCGTCCTTGTCCTGAAGAAGGTTATTTTAGAGACAGGCCATATAATTATAATAAGTGAATGTTTGTGAAAGAGCAACACGTTGAGTCTCTAAGTGTGGACGTTGAAGTGTACCTCTCCTGACTTTTCTCTTTTCCTGTGGCCGTGAGACTGAAAGAGTTGGCAGGTGGGACTGTCCCTGCCCATGTGGAAACGAGCTGTGGTCTAGGTGGTCTGCGTGGCGCTTTTACAAAGTTGCCTCGTCTGACTTTGCTTGGCTGGTAGTCTCTTTAGCCCAAATGAGCCTTCATCTGGGCTTTTCTCCTGCTGTGCGGTGAGAGTGATTCAGAGCTCATGGAAGAGAGAAGGAGCGTTTTGATCCAAAGCCTTTGGATTTGAGCACTACGTACTCTTAGTGAGAAGAGAATTCCCTAACGAGTGGCGTTATGTCACCCTGTTAGAAACCCCAGCATCAGGCACAGGTCTCTAGGGTGTCCGTTCTGCCCCTCAGCCTGCTGATTTTCTCCACTCTCCCCCTGTGCTGGTCTGTTTCCCCAGAAGAGGAGCCGTAGGGGTCTTATTATTCTCAGATAGGACGTGAGAAATTAGAACCTGACAGCAGCAAGGGTTTCAGCATCCTTTTTAGAGCCAAGAGAATACAGAATGGACCAGAGCTCTTACTGCAAGTTTTAGAGAAGTCCTACTTCCTACCTTTTCTTTCCTGTCCTTCCTGATCGGGTCTGGGCAGTGTGCACACAGTGCTGACTATGTCTGGATCACAAATCCGTCAGAGGAGGGGTGTCCAGGGTACCTTTTGCTGATGCTGTCAGTTTTGTTACGGGAGAAATAGGTGAAGCCTTTAGCATTTAATCTGTGTATAAAATGGGGAAAGGAAAATCACTGTGTATTCTGTTTTCTTTTTCTTGCTTCAGAGCTGAATGAGGAGTTCTGTGACGGACTTGAAAGAGGAATGTAAAGCAGAGTTAGAGAACTAGCTTCTCTTCCCGTCTCCTAGTCCTCAAATTGGAATTTAGCTCCTACTTCTATCTGTGTTGTCTTTGGTTTTGTTTTGGTAAAGGGATTGTTTTGCATTCAGTGGAAAGTGGAATAAAATCTTTTTATTATTATTATTTTATTTTTGAGGAAGATTAGCCCTGAGCTAACATCTGCTGCCAATCCTCCTCTTTTTGCTGAGGAAGACTGGCCCTGAGCTAACATCCGTGCCCATCTTCCTCTACTTTATATATGGGATGCCTCCCACAGCATGGCATGCCAAGCGTCCGGGATCCAAACCGGCGAACCCTGGGCCGCTGAAGCAGAACGTGCGAACTTAACCGCTGCACCACCGGGGCAGCCCCAGGAAATGTTTTTAAAATATGTGTTGTGCTAGTGATCTGCCCTATATCATTGTCTCTGATTTCTGTTTTTTGGTTTTTTAACTTTTTCTCCCAAGAAATTAGAGTTAGAAATACAATATATTTGTATTCCTAGACTGAACGGTTGAGTGTTTCCTGTGAGGTTCTGGGTGTTCCCTTTTGCAACCCTTGATCTTCAGAGTCCCTGGCATTTTGAAGAAACATGATAGAGCTGTTTGGAAATAAATCCATCTTATGGTTTCTCTGTGAGCAGGAGATCTGAGCTTCAGAGAAACTTATTGGTGCTTGGGGTACTCAAAGGATGTGGGAGGAAGTGTCTAATAATTGACAGAACCGTATCTGGGGTATATATTCTTATGCACATTTCATTGTCCATGCTAAGCCCAGAAGCCATGTTGTGTTTGTTTTCAAGAAATTTGGTAAATTTACCCAGGTTTTTCAGTATACATTTTGACTTGTTTGTGTTTTAAAATATTTTAGTTTTAAAAATATATAACAATTGAGTCAGGTTGCAGCATTGGCAGGAGTGATCTCTGACTTCCCCTAGAGGTGACAGAGACATCAGAAGTATGTCCAGGAATTTAATTTAGACTCATAGTGTCTGGAAGACCTATCTACTAGCATCTATATGCTGACTGACTGACAGACTGTAGTAGGGTCCGTATGCTGACTGACTGACAGACTGTGGTCGGGTCCATATGCTGACTGACTGATGGACCGTAGTAGGTTCTGTATTCTGACTTACTGACAGACTACAGTAGGATCATCCCTATTCTGGGTGACTGACAGACTGGAGTAGGGCCCCTATACTGACTGACTAACTGACAGACTGTAGTAGGGTCTGTGTGCTGACTGACTGACACACTCTAGCAGGGTCCTTATGCTGACTGACTGACACACTCTAGGCGGGTTCCTGTGCTGACTGACTGACGGAGTGTAGTAGGGTCTGTGTGCTGACTGACTGACAGACTCTGGTAGAGTCCATATGCTGACAGTCTGATTGTTTTCTAATTGTACCAGTTGGTAGTGTATGCACGTTATTGTAATTCTCTGTCTATTGCACGTGTCCTACAAAGAAAGGAGGTAAACACTCCATATGTTTTCTTTTGGGGGATGTTCTGTACAACATGATTTTTAGTAGACTTTTTTTTTAGAGTAGCAGCCAAAATCTCATCATTGTGTAGAAAATGAAAGGTTGTACATCACTTGTATGATACTTTGTGCCTGCCCAAAGCCTGAAATGGTTACCTC